ATATATATATATATATATATACTACCTCGCAATGCGCATACAAAATGTGTGTTCACGTGCGACGCTACTGCATCCCTCTTTCGCTTTTCTCTTGATACAATCGCGCGGTTTATTACATGCCCGAAGTTCTGTATATATATTTAACGTGATCGGTTTACATGCATTACGTTTTGTTTGGCTGTCTCATCCCTTCCTTGCTTTCGCAAATTATTCTCATTATTCTCCAAACGCGCGCTACATCACTGATGTACCGCACACGACAGACTACTACATTCGCACAGCCTGACAGATCGATTAATCATCGCTAGAACCATGATAAATGACTCAAAATTGAAACAATTTTACGCGATTGCAATGTCACGCAGCGTGATGCTCGCTGCGACGCGAGTTCGATGAGATAAAGACGCGCCGTTTTTATAACAATCTTTTTTTAATGCCATAATCGTCCTCCGATTATTCTAAATACATTCATTGCGTCAAGCTCGTCGCTGCAAAACACACATATACATACATTCTCGCATTTTAATATTATATATATACAGTATTTTACAGAACAATAAAACCCTTATTGTCATGGCAACGGATGGTGACACGTGTAACTATGCTGGCGGCAAGAAACTTTTTTTTGGCACCTACGCTTTTCACCCCGATGCCATGTTCCGTTTGTCGTGACAAACACCGCTTGAGTTTTCAGATCGCACTTTTTACGTTTAAAAGCGTCATTAATTTAGAGACTAACTTGCGTGACAATGATTCGAAGACGGGAGAAAGAGTGATTCAGAAGCGAAAGTTAGCTTTAAATGCAAGTATTAGTAAAAAGCTTATGTTAATAGTAATATGATTGCGAAGCGATTTTAATGACGGATCGATAGCTCTATGAATTGATTAGTAGTTAAAGAGCCGTTTGGAAAAACACGGTACTTTCGGTTATATAACTTACGTATATGAAATACTTAGTGTTCAGTCGATTCCATTGGCACGATAACTTTTAAGTGAGTTATAAAATTATAAAATTTACAAGATTTACGGAACCGACACTTATCAGCACGACCAAAAAAAAAAAAACGGAACAAGAACAAAAAAGAAAAGCGTTTCTGCGACCGGCTCTAAAAGTTCAGGATGGGGAGAAGAGGAGACAAACCGGTTCCTCTAATTAAATGCACTGAGTTCCGGCTTAATTATTTCCCGCGCGCGTCTCGACGAATCCGGCGTTGCTTTACGACGCACGTTCGCGTTCCTCGTTTCTCCATCGGGCTCCCTTGTACACGGAACATGGCAGTACTTCGAGGTTTTCAGAATTCTCCGTGGAAGAATGAATATGTTTGGAATGTTGCATTTTTTTTATCTTTTGCGTTGCTTCTCCGGTGAATGCGGGGAGGGGAAGTAATGATTTTGCGGGCCAATGTGCCGTTTCGCTAATGAGACTGCGGGAACACGCCTAATTTTTTTTCTCATTCGAAACCAACAATTTAAACCAGCGGCAATTTTCTGTATTACATGCGACCTAGTAAATTACTAGAAATGCTGTATACTGTACGGTGCATTTCTCTAGTAGTTCATTAGATGCACGAAAAATCTTGCAGTGTGCCGCTAGCTTTAAATACAGCATTCTTCCTCTTTCATTCCATTAGTACTAGACAACGCCAGTTCCGCGTGGAACTAAAAAGCTCGCCGAGAATCGACACTTCGAGGCACGTCGGTCGCGAGGAAAAATTCGGAACGTGATTACGGCGCAAAGGGACTTTCTAAAAAAAGAAAAAAAAACACAGCCACGACGTCTTTCCGGCGAGAGTCGATCGCTGTTTATTGGGGTTTCAATTAGCACCATCGCTGTCCATAAACGTTGATACATGTCTCACACACACAAGCACGTGTTATAAGAAAACCTGGAGTCATTCGTAACAATTTTAAATATCGACGTATTCGTTTATCAAATCTCTTATTGGGAGACTAATATTTCGAAGTTACAAATGGTAGAAAATTTCGGTAAAAAGAAATAGGAAGTAGCTTAGGTGGAAACAATTAATTCTCCATTATTGTGAAGGATAATATGTACAATTCTAGTTCTCTATCTAGCTCTCTTCGAAGTATACAGTAACCATACTTTCTAAGAAAATCGTTTAAAATGGTGTCTTAATCTTCCAGTTGATATCTTTCATATACGTATCTTCCAGATGATTTATCACAAATGTTCTAATTTCTCCTTGTTACAATTAATCCGAGGCTCTCTTACACTCTCTCATAGCAAGCACTCTTTAAAACACGCTTGTATCTTCCATATCTTGCATACACACTCTTTCTCTGCCGTTACCGAGCTCGGCGGCGCGGTCCTTCGTCATTGCGTCGATGCGCGAAGCCGCTTGGTCTCCGAAGAACATCTCAAAGAAATGCATGGCGATATGTTTCGAACATAAAGCAACTCTCGCCTGATATAACATTCCGAGATTAGATCTTTCGTTTCATTACGTAGCGAATATGCGCTAGTAATAGTTTGCGGCTCGCGACACGCGTGGCTTCGATCTTACTTGTTCGTAGTTTGGAAACATGGAATGTCAAAACAACAAAGAGATTAGTAGTCGCGGGAGAAAGATCGAAGAACCGTGCCGTGGTAAACCGATCCCGGAACCACAATGATGCAGCTCGCTCACGTGCGCGCGCGCGCGCGCGCGCAGCCGTTTCCACGATTTCATCTCTAATTATAATGATTATCGATTAAAATACGCAATAATTCCTAACATCACATGCTCTGTGGCTTAGAAAATATGTATAGCTGCGCTGGAAGGTCCTCGAACTCGCGTATCCGAATGTTACTCGACTCGCAGACGTCAGGCGCATATAGAAGTATATTTTACATATGTGTATACGTATATGCGTATATATATGTATACTTTTACAATAATAATAATTATTGCATTATATTAGATTCTGTAAGTGTATAATTATGCGATTATGTTACGATTGATTGCGGCTGAGAAAGAGGGAGGAGGAGGACGGGGCGAAGATGGGAAAGGGAGATTATCCGAGAAGATCATATACGCAGTGTTTCTCGACTCCTGTTTTTGACACACATGATATTTCTCGCAATTATTAAAACTCAAGCAACACACGATTGGATAGTAAAAACTAGCTTAGAAAACGTGTTGTAAGCTGATTCTTTGGAGAATTTTGAAAGCTGATTTCGGTCCCGGAACTGTCGTTCTTCTTTTTTACACGAGCTGCATTCTAATAAGTGTAGACTGCTATTTAATCTAAAACTTTAATTCGCAGGGTTGCACAAAATATTCCAGAGATTTATGAGGCTTCAAGTATTTATTAGACATTATTTGTCTCGCGAATCGATCGTGTGAACAAAAAGAACGACGTGCGGTCGATATTTGTTAATCAAGGAAGACCGAAGAATGCGTGATGACACGCGCGTTAAACACTGTGAGGACTGGTTCGCGATTCGGTATGTTTTGCATTCTTAATTGTTAATTAAAATTACGATTGCGCGCGATTACGGTACCTATTTTGTTTAGCATTAGGTACGATTATACTTTCCGAACTCGTAAGAAGCGTGTCGAAACACTCGATGCGCACGCATAAGTACATATTTCGATGTGATGTTGATACAAGATGCACCAGGGGCGTTTTACACAAAATGCACCGGACAGACTTGACCAGGCGATACAGTGATCTTCGCTGTCCGCGTCTCTCTATCTTTCACGAGTTATGAACTTTTTGATTACCTGCCGAAAATTAAGTACATAACGCCGGATTGCGAGAGAGTATCTCGGGCTAGGTCGCGAAATCCACCTTGTCCCAGATCATCGGGGATGACAAATCGGACGACATCTTAAAGTCGGAGTCTTCCATGTTAAAGAGATCAACGGAGTATTCGTTGTTGGGTCCCCCTAACAGCGGGCCGTAGATATCCGCGGCAGACGAGATCGCGGTGGTGGATGGATGATTGGATGACGACATTGTTGTGGTAGTCTGAGGCGATTGCGGCATCAGTGAGTCCAGCCAATCGGGATCGTCCATATCCATCGGCATGTCGCAGTCCAGTTGACAAAAGTCCATCGGATCCAACGTTTCCAAGTCCAGTCCCAGCTCCTAAAAAATACAATTATCATTATATTTTAGTTTCACTACTTCCCCGATCAATTTTATCTCGAAGTGAATGTACTTTGAGATCCAAATTGGCGTTGTCTGAGGACGTTACTTCTTGCGGCGGTTGAGGATCCGGAGACGCCTGTTGCGTCGACTGAGGGCTGAGCAACATCGCGGTATCCAGTTCGGCCTCAGAAGTTAGCAAATCTGTACTGAAGGACGAGATTTCCTCCTGCTGTTGCAACTGTTGCAGTGTGCTCGGCAACTGAATGGAGAACGTCGTTAACGGCAACGGCGGCGGCGGTGGTGGCGGTGCCGGCGTCGACGGACTCGGGCAACCGCTGTGAGACACCTCCATCGGTATCGGGCTGATCGGGCTGATCGGGCTGGTAGCTGTGAAGACTAACGACTGAGTTGGACTGTCCGCTGGTGCGGTGAACACCAGATTCTGCTGTAATTGGCGATTCGGAGTCGTGGGAGTAGCCGGATCTTGCGCGGCGCTCGGCGGTAACTCGCCATTCTTGATGAGAATCTCCAATACGTCATCGACCACTTGACTCTTTATGTGACTCTTCTGAACCGGTTCGATTTTCACCTGTACGTTTCACACGCAATATCAGCAAATGTACAAAAATATTACGAGAAATAGAAAGTTACAATGCGAAGAATTACAGTGATACATTTTTATAACGAAACTCATGCTCGCGTACGCGTACTTACCTTCAGCAATTTAGCAGCTTCATCGTATTGCGGTAGCGGCGGCTTGACGTCCTCGGCAGTAGTGCTGGTGGTCGTTTGTTGCTGCTGCTGCTGCTGCTGTTGTTGAGCCTGCGCCACGAGAGCACCGAGCAGCGATCCGTTCAGCTTGGTCGGTTTGGCCAGATTCAGAACGATCGCCGTGGGTATTTGCATAGTGGTGCTGTTCTTAGTCTGATTTTTCTTATTGTTGATCGCAGTCAGAGTCGCAGAGTCGAGAATAGCGGTTGTATTGTTCGGTTGCGCTTGCAGGAAGGCCGCGAGACTCGCCTTTGCGTTAAGTTGTTGAATCGTGGCATGCTGTTGTTGTTGAATCTGTTGTTGCGATTGTTGTTGGTTCTGTTGTTGTTGCTGGTGCTGCTGCTGCTGTTGCTGGTGCTGCTGCTGCTGCTGTTGCAAGTGCTGAAGCTGTTGCAAATGTATAGCCAATTGTTGTTGCTGCATTTTGTTTTGTATGTGCTGCTGGAGCACTAGCTTTTCGGCGCGCATCGTCGGCGGCTGCGTCTGGCGGATCTGCTGGAGTTGCTGTTGCGACTTGTACAGTTCGCGCTGTAACTCCTCTATCCGCTTCCTCTGCACCTTGATGATATCATCTCCTGAAACACGAACTGCGTCGTAAAAACACCCACGTGCGCCGCCTTTTGAATCAACGGTCTCACTCGAAAGTCTCAACGCCTTTCGCGCGCGCGCACACCAATGTTTCGATAATAACGCGGAGATACCGAGATGATTTTTACCTGGCGGGCTCGACGGATCGTCGTGTTCGCTGCTGTGAGGGGAGGCCGTTCGCGGACTGTTAGGCTCCTCCTTCACGGTGGAGCATGGGCTCTTGGCTTGAGAGCTGGACTCGTCCGTCGCCATCGGACCAGGTGTGTCCATTAGGATATGGCCCATGTGCGTCACGTGCGGTCCGTTGGAATTGATGGTCAAGTTGTTGGTGGATGACTCCGTGAAAGGCTTCAATCGCTCAATCAGCTGCGGTTTTGAGCCCGACACCGGCAGATTTCGTCGTTTCAATTCCACTTTGAGATCGCTCACTGCGAATATGATATGTGAAATTATTTGCTGCTCTTTATAATGAATTCACAAATCTTTAAATCTTCTGTCTTTGTCAATGCAAAATTCAGTTTGCATCAGACACTAATTTAATCACATGTTTTTATATTTAAGAAATCGTGTAAATCTTTTCAATAATAAAATTTCTAATAATAAAAAAGTTGCAAAACATTCTGCTTGAAAAATCGTAAGATGAATGTGTAATCTTTGTTACGAAAGAATTCGCTATAATTAATACCTTGCGCCGCCATTTTTGCACTTTTGATGCAACTTTAATTTTACCTTTCATGTCCTCCAGCTTGCCCAAGGGCCTCAACGGAGGTTGCTCTGAAGGATTGTTCGAAGAGCTCGACGGTGCCGGGCTGGCAGCGTTTGCGCTGCTTCCGCTTACGCTACCAGCATCGCTGGCGCCGCTGCTCGTGAGCGACAGTGGTTTCTGCGCGGCTGGCAAGATGATCTGTGGATACTGAGACAAGGGAAAAAAATTCTTTAATCTTTGTCAATGCAAACTCAGCTTGCATCAGATACTAATTTAATCACAAATATTTTTATATTTAGAAATTTAAGAAATCATGTAAATCTTTTCAGTAATAATAACAAAGTTGCAAAATATTCCGCCTGAAAAATCGCAAGATGAATGTGCAATCTTTATTGCGAAAAAATTCGCTATATAATTAATACCTTGTGCTGCCATTCGAGCTGCCACTGGAGAAACAGCTGCTGCTGCTGCAGGAGCAACTCATAACTGGTCTCACCGGGTTGTGCGGCGCCGAGACCGGAAGTGCTAGACGACACCGGCGTCTTCTGCGCGTTCGGCGGGCCCTGTGGCAAGAATCATTACGTGAACCGCGAGGAAGAAAACACACGTCGAAAATGTACGGTCGCCACGTTTTCGATCATTTATTCGCAATAGTCGTGACGATTCACATTCGGCATGAACCCGGCCTTTGTGCGTCTCTTTACGTAACGTCCGCTCACGATGAGCCGCGAACAGATTTCAGATATATTTCCCGACATCGCTCTGTCTGGCGCCCGGTGCATCGCGAAGAGGAGGCGAAGGTGGGTGACGTAGCTCCGGTCCAGGCTCCGCGCCGAGTGATAAATGATACATCAAGATGTTTTCTGCGCCCTCATTTGCACGCCCATTCCCGGCTCGCTTTCACACCGGCCACACTGTATCTCGGCTGTTTCGGGCCGCGCGCGGTCCGTGGTTCGGCGCGGTTCGACGCGGTCCAACGTCTATCGAGCCCGGGGGAGGAGATCCCGCCGCTCTCTCGCCGCTCCCTGGCTTCCTCGCTCTTAGGTGCAATTAGCGCTCGAATTACTCAGAGCTAACGAGGTGGGTCCCGAGCCCCTCTCTCCTTCTCTCTCTCTTTCTCGCGAGAGATCGCGAGAGTTAATCACCTGATACGATCTCCCTTCGAGGTTCCTTCGGGGCCCCGAAGGCTCTTCCGCCGCTCTCTGGCCCACGGGAGCAGAGATTCACGGTCCGTGCTCCGTACTCGTTTTTACCTCGCCTTCTTCTTGCTCTTCAACCACCACCACCACCTCCTCTTCTTCTTCTCCTTCTTCTTCTTCTTGTTCCGAGAACATCCTTTTTGCTCGTTTCGTCTCTTTGCCCCGGCTCGTTGCCACGCCGAAATGCGGACCTCCGTTAGCCCACACTGCCCGGCCGCAGAAACTAGTTTGTAGTGCCACACGGCGGTCTCGTCGTATGCGATAATTATCGCTCGCCTCTGTATACACTTTGGCCGTGGCCTCGGATCGAAAAATACTTTGCACCTCGTGCATCGCGTCCCACCCGTTTATCGACCCCGGTGCCGCGATTGAAGAATTTTCGATAAAATTTTTCGATCGTGTTTATTTACCGAAAGGCGGCTTTAAGCTAGAAGATTTTTCTGTGCTCCGTAAATCATAGATAAATAATTCCCACTGATCTCCAGATCCACGTTCTATCCGCCAATTAACTGATCAATTAACTATTCAAAGAATCTTGCAATAATATGAGAATTTTATATTCGATTCGAGTATAGAATATAAATAGAAGTTAATTCAAATGATCACAAATGTCGCTTCTAATTCCATAGCATGTTGTTATAAATTCATGATTGGTATTAACGTTTAATATTCAGATCTTTCGAAAATAGTATGTAAACATTCATATTACGCAATATCGATTACGTTTAAAGAACTGCGAGACGCATCGGCAAGCGCGGACAATGATGTCAGAATTTCGGCGCCTCAAGAATATCCTTTAATAACTCGCAACGCGATTCAATAGTCATTCTGTCGATATAATGCTTCGCGTAATAAACTCGATACCTCCAGAGACGAGAATGGACAGTATCATTCTGCAGCTCGACAATTAAAAAAAAAAAAAAAAACCGTCTCGTACGCTGCTCTCCTTCGTGCAAGTCACAGAATGACACGGTTGTTCTCGTCTCCGCCGAAATGTTGACACAATAAATTGAAAGCGAAACTTACTTTATACTCGTGGAACTTGATCGTCCGGGTCTTGGGCTGGCTCTTGGTCTTCGACTTCTTTCTGTTCTTGTCCTTCCCGGGAGCGTCGCTCCTTTGGCACGTGGTGGCAGCCACGGCGGCGGCGGCGGCGGCTATCGGGCTCGGCTGGGGCCGCGGGGTGATTGCCGCCGGCGGCGGCGCCGGGGGCGACGCTATCGAGATGTTGGACAGGGGGCTCAGGCTCGACGTCGTCGAGCCCAGGGACATCGGGCTCGGCGCCGGCGCCAATGGTAGAAGAGTCGTCGATGGGCCATTCGTCTGGCTCGCCTATTGAAAAAGAGAAAGAGATTGTTGTCGGTGGTTTTTCGAACTTCCACTGTGCGGCACGCGATATCGATCGCCATCAATGTAATTGTCATTGGCGACCCCCTAAATGTCGTCGCGATTAATCTTCGTTGCGTTCGATCATCGCTTTCGTCACCGTCCAGCTGTTTCGAAATCGACCTCGAAAAACTGATGCAATTTTCTCTTTATCGCGAAAGACGGACCTCGATGACGCGCCATGGATGTCATAAGGACAATCACGGTGAGTCGAAATTTTTCAAATTGCCGTTTCAAGTTTACCTGCGTAGACGTGTGCTGCTGGTTCTGTTGAACCTGCTGCTGTTGACTCTGCGTGCCTACGACAGTGTTGCAAAGCTCGGCGAAGGTCTGTATCGTCGACTCCGTGGACGTCTGTTGGAAGACGGGAGACGTCGACGAGACCACGACGGCACCACCGGTGGTCGGTATGCTGAGAGAAACCGTGACGATGCCCGCAGAAGTCGCCGCGGTCTCCAGAACGTCCGACGATCGCGATTCCAGCTGCGGTGAGGGCGCGCCCTCCGAGCTCTGCGAGTCATCCTCGAAGGTGATGTAGTGGTCCGGGTGCTGGGGTTTCGTCACCTGCCCCTCGCAGGTAGCCTTGAAGGAAATGTGGCCCTCTGGGGGGAGAATTTAATTCGTGAAAATCGCAGAATTTAATTTTTCCACATTGCGCTAATAATAAAACAAGGCAAATAAGAAGATTCGTTTTATTACACGGAGAAAATTTTACATCAAAAATTATGTACGGCAGTGGCCGCGCACCGTGAAAGAATTATAAAAATATTTACTACCGTTTTTCACATAACGGCATAGTATTTAAACTTGTAATTCCTTTTATGGTCCGCGGCCACTGCCGTACCATAGTAATTTTTGATATAAAAATGGTAATGGCAGATACTGCTCTTTCTTCCGTTGATGTAGAATTTTCCCATCCAAGTGTTACTTTATTTCTTAGATAGATTAACTAATCCAACGACCGCTGGAGTAATAAGGAAATAAATGAAAAGGCTGTCGAGATACCTTTGACCGCCCTCTCGATGGGCTCTTCAGTATGAAGGATGTTCTTCTGGATGAGTTCGAGCGGCCCGGGTCGATGACTGAGCTGATCGTTGAGCTGATCAGCTAGCCTGGCCTTCTTCAGCATCCGCTGCCGCTCAGCCAGGCTCGGATCGACGTGACCCACATCCTCGAGGATGTGCTGCCGTACCAGTTCGTCCCTGCCCGGTCTCTGCTGGATCTTCGCCTTCAGCAGATCACCCGTCTTCGCCCGCTCCAGCTGCTTCCGTTGCTCGTGAAACGCCGGCGGCGTCTTCAGCGCTGCGAGGGAAAAACATTCTTGTCTCACCTTGTCGTTTCTTATTTACTCTTTCTGGCGCGATTTAATTACAGGCACGACGTCGTGCTAAAATATTGCGTCGAAAGTGCCTTCGAGTGACACGATAATCGGCGATCGTGAAGGAGATTGAAGCGAGATTGTCGTTGGGTTTTTCATTCATAATTTTACACCACAATTTTTTACGTCTCGACAATTTTTTGGTTGGAAAAAAATCGGCCGAATTTCCGCGTCTCGGTACGCGACATAGCGCATACTGCAAGCATCAATTCCGGGATGATGACTCTCAAAAGAAGTTCGTACGGTGCCATTTTGGTGTCAACGTGCCGCGTCCCCCGCATTCTCCAACGCCATTAAGTCGCCGGATAAATGATCCCCGAAGTGTGTCCCCTATCACTATTTCCGGACGCGGATGCTGCCGGGCGTCTTCATTACGCGGAATAAAAGGCATGTACGCGCGCCCACCTCGACGGCCGTCGGCCGATGTGGCAACGGAAATGTGAAAATACACGGGCGCCCTGGTATTTTAAACCGCGTGCCATAAGTTTCCATTCGCCGTGCCGTGGACAGGACACGCCGCCGCCCCGTCGCAGGTTTTTTTTAGCGGCTTCGAGATTAATCGCGGATGTAATTCCCTTGTGCGTCGGCACAGTCGAAAGAGATGCAACTTTGTCTCGAATATTACTCTTCAACTCGTTACGGAGAATTTACGGTACTTTTGCGAAGATACCGAGGATGAATAAAAACTAGAGGGGAGGAGGTTCTCGTATTATCATATTGAAAATAGCACTAAATTTGAAAGATTATTATTATAACTGTTATAACCGTCAATGTGTAGATTATGGATATCGACAAACCGATCTATAATGCAACTTTTAAAATAATATTGAAAGTATTCGCAAAGAAAATACAAAATAATAAAAATTTCCTGGAGTTTCGCGAGAATGTTTTGCGGAAAAGTATTAATTTTCGAGAAAAGTAGATTTGTAAATCCGTCGGCTGCGAAAGCGATTATTATTTCCGATCACGGATATCCACGAGGCAAATTCAAGTTTCAGAAGTTACAAATGAATGGATATCGCGCGCGGTATCGAAATGCATTCTACACTGCATCTCGCGTAAACGTAAGGCGAACGAGGGCTATCAAACTGCGTATTTTCATCAGCCCGGCGATATATACCGGGTGCTATAAACGCGCCCGACGCGCGGACGGTAACAAGAGCAATATTTTAGGGTGTGACCCAAATAATTACTGGATGCCGGTGCTCTCGTTCTGGTAAACATTTGGTATCCGTCGTAAATCTACCGAGCAACTAGACTGCCGTTCTTACACCGTTGATCGCTCCGGAGATTTCGGGAACAAACACGACGAGCGCGCCGTGCACCGCGCGAATGTTTTTACTTTTGCTTCTTAATTTACTTCGCCGACGCGCATGTCCCGAGTCAGTTTTGCTCGGCAATGCGATGAAGAAGAACGATCGAATTCCTTGCTGTAGAAAGAGCGTGCGTTATAAAAGAGCGAGAAACAACACTTACAGTTGTTTATCAGTATGTTTTTTACGAAAATTATTACGAATAAAATTTTGAAACATAATTTTCTTTCTAAAAATTTATTTTTTGTCATATTCAGAACGTCGATTCGTGTCTTTTTCGGATTAACAGATTCAATTATTAAGAGATTAATTGATCAATTTGGAAACGACCCAATTCGCTTCAATTCAAAACTCGTAAAAACGGCGGATAACTGCCAATTTGTTAATCATTGCCAACCAATTAAGCATGATCTAGAAGTGTCCTAGATATTAGCTGTATACTTTTTACAATTCTCAAAGCGCTACGATAATTAACTGCGTGCGTGAGACAATCGGTCCCACGCTTTAACGAAGATGTTTTTAAGACCGCGGAGACTAACTGGCAATGACGTTCAATAACGCGTTGTAACGCGAAAGCTACAGGGATCGCAACACACACGGGCAAAGGTTTAACAGCCCCGAGTCGTACAAGCGCAATTTTCCGCGGCGCGAAACGGAAAAAGAAAAAGAAATATAAACGGTGCAATAAACAAGCGGATCAACACTTACGTGGCATGATGCCTTGCGCAACCAGCTGATTGATGGGTCGCCTAAGCATTAGCTTCACCTTCAGCGCTGCAACAGAAAAAGGATGCCGCCGGTCATAAAGTGCGCCTCCTTAGTTATGGGGAAGAAATTAGGGGCCGATTCGAGGGAGCGGCCGCCTCTTCGTGGAACTTTTATTCGAACGAGTGCGTTGCACCGCGACGAGACGCGGAGGGAGAGAGAGTCGCTCGTGAAATCCTCCCGTCTCTCGACGGCATCGCTCCAATTTCTGCGGGATTTCCGCGGAGGAGTCGCGACAGCCGCGAAATCTCAAGTCGCGACGCGAGATGCTTCTATAAAAATCACGGAGATCAAAGTCGATCATTCGCCCTAACTCGGCGCAGGCTTTTTCCTGCTGTGTTATTTTCCCTGCGCGTGTCGCGCATTTTCTGGTTCTTTTAAAGACAAATAGTGGTCGTAAAATAATAATTTTTATTACAAGATGATGGTTAAAGACGCAATCAAATCGACAATTTATTGAGCCTAATTTATTAAGAATATAATATTATTTATTTAATATAATACAAAAATAGCTTGTGTCAAAAATAAAAATTTAGAAATATGCTATAAATATTTTATTTTTTCCAAAAAAAATTATAGATGAAATATACTTCTTACAATTTTTACCTGTGTTATAGTCTCTTAATAATAGTACGCGTGAAGTTAGCCCCCCAATATTAGAAATAATTAAGTTATTTTACATAATTCAATTGCACAAACAAAAATTTAAACTGTATGTAAATGTGCAAACAAAAATCTATCGATTAGGTTGATTAAAAACCATTTTTGTAAAAATTGGGAGGCTAATGTGAAATTGCCCCCCCCCCCTTAAATTTTTTTAAATTAACTTTTTACTAGAGGTATGACAAAACGAAAATAAAAGAAGTGCAATCATGTGACAAACAATGTGCAATCGAATCATGTAAAATAACTTAATTATTTCTAATATTGAGGGACTAACTTCATGCGTATTTAATAGTATCCATTTTTTATCTTATATATATTTCTTAACGAAAAATAATTTTAAATTAAATTTTTACTTAACTAATATAACTTAACATATTCGTTATACAAATATTTTCAATCACACATCGTTGACGCATTCTAATTAATCTACTTCTAATTTATCTAATTTATCACACATTTATCATACATTTATTAATCTAATTTATCTACTTTTCCGCAAATCAGGAAATGCGAATGATAAAAGTCTGATAAGGATGATGAAGATAAAAATGCGTTGAGGATCAAAGAACGAAGAAACGCGCGGCTCTTTCTTCGCGCAGGATGAAGCACCCGAGTACAAATTAACACACAAAAGACCCGGCGGTTATAAATACGCGTACAACGCAGGCCAGATTGCATAAATTGCTCACAAAAGAAGAAGAACAAAAACGTAGAGATTGTAAGGCCGTACAATTTGAATTCAAAGCAGTCAATATTCCGACGAAATGCCTGGCGCACTGCCTTTGAACGTAATGGTTTATCCGCGGTAAGATTTGCTACTTTAATGCTGCTGCTGGACTCGTAACCGGTCCAAGTTTCCTCCGAACTCGTCAACAAACGTTAGATTGGTAGCTCTTCCCTGATTTATCGTGTCTTTTTAAAAGCAGGTACAATCGTCAGCACATTTAGAAAATTATATTTATAATTTTTATAATTTAAAAAATTTTTGTTAATTAATGTAATAAAAATTTTCTTGTATACCAATGTTACAATGAATTATAACGAATAAAATCACCAGACAAACGTATATATACTTATTTACTTGGTTGCGAAGATTTAGTGATAGACAAAATGTATTTTCTTATTGCATGGTTTCATTTAAATTACGATTGTTTTAAGATTGAAATAGACTCACTGAAATTTCGGGCAACATTGCATTTTGGCATTACATAGCTAGTCTGATGCTGTTCGGAGTGATCTATCGCACCTATTATCTATCGCACTTATTTTAAACAAAGATGTAGTCTAGAATGTTAAAAGGTACGTTTATCTTAGAATGCCATTTTTTATTTTTATGCCTTACAATCGCATATAATTACATTTAGTAAGCGTGGAAGTTTTAAATTGTTAAAATATACATTTTATTCATTTTTATGTTTTAAAATCTTCTAACATGTCATTTGGTAAGATTAGAATTTTAGTATTTACATTTTCCTTACTGCGATGCATCGAAATCTTATATTTTACATAAAAACAAATAATCTAAAATGCTAAAATCTATATTTTATTCATTTTTATGTCTTAGAATCTCATATTATAGAATTCTAGACCATTTTTGTTTAAAATATTTATATAATTATAAATGTTTGTATCAAAATTTTTTATCCCTATAAAACGTTAGTATTTTCTTCGTACAAAATGTGCAATCTCGCGCAATTACGTTCCTAGCATGATTTCCAGGATCGATAATGAGGATACCGATCAAGAATACTCGTTAAAAGATAAGACTATTGCGATTAAAGTGTATCGATAAGATTCTAGAATGTTTGCTTACACCTTGTACTTTGCAGTCATAATAATTCGTATTCGAACGTGATTCCAAATCGGTGCGTCCTGCGATTATCGCTCCCGTATCGTAATTATTCACGCCAATTAGCGAATTTGTTGAATTAAATTAGGTCGGTTGGTTAATCAGAAACCAGTGAAGAACCTGTTAGTCGACTTAACTTCACCGTGGTCAATCTAGTCTTTTAATAATACGATTAATGCAAACTCTTAATAATATTTCGCAATATCATTCTGTTTATGGTAAATCGACTTTACTCTGCAATGTCGTAATAGAGATCGCGTTTTATGAATCATCACGATATCTCTGGTAAAATAGACCTTTTCCAAATATACTCAGATGTAATCATAAAAAAGCTTTCAAATTTTAGTATTTTTTAGAATTTTAAAGTTTCTACAAGTTTAAAAATAAAAAGTAAATTTTATTCTATTTTTAATCTCAATTTTCTTTGTAACCAAAAGATGGTTAATAAAGATTTGAATGGATTGAAATCCTCCTGCTTGCAAAGCGAAACGGAGCACGGAGCGTAACAGAGCAAATTCAGACTGGAGCGGAGCGCATTAACGATGAAACACGAGAGGAAGGATAAAAGACGCGGAGAAGATAGATGCTAACGACCAAACCGGCGCTAGCTACCGAGAGATACGCTGGACCGAAGAGACCAACTCTCTCTCTCTCTCTCTATCTCTCTCTCTCTCTTTCTGAGGTATGGCACACGTGCATAGTTGCACACGTGCATAGTTGTCCCATGTAGCCGATGGCACGGCAGGTTACGACTTCGTGGCTCGTGGCCGATCGCGCTTACGCGAATTCCCACCGTGTTTCGCATTTCTTGGAGCTTCCGTCGTTGTTTCGCCACGGTAAACCGTGCCGCACCGTGATGGCTAATTTCTTAACCTCGCTGGAATCCCGCATCCTTCGAGGTACGCGCAAATTCAGTCTTAACATGTAAGTGAGAATATTTTTCTGGAGAGAGCAGAAAAGTGACAAAAAAATAACTTTGGAAGAGAAATTTTTAAAGATAAAAAAATTGTTAAGCCAAAAAATAGTTAAATGCAATTTTCTGCGCCATCCAGTAAAAAAAAAAGCAAGTTCAAGAACATCTTGAAATAATTTCATCGGATCAAGTAACTCTTTTATGAGAGATATGTGAGAGGAAGATTTATTATTCGAAGACGACGCGATTTCGAGAGCTCTTGGGGGACTGCTAGAGTTTGTTAGACATTCGTTTTCTCTGGAGATTACATTGCTGTTATCAATCGAAAGCAGCCGCTCATTATTTATAGAGCCCGCGTGTGAGAATACACGAATGATAAACGGATCGAAATATTTGCCGGTGTTGTTAGCGCTATCTATCATATTCCAGTATTTCCAAATGTTTACACAGTCAACACAGTAAATCTCGCGGCAGACATCTTTTACGATTGCAATAAAACTCACGACGGTAATATTGTATCAATATTATCGTACTACTTCTCCATTCCATCGATTTTGAGGCTCCGGACTTACTTACGCGAGCGTTCGCGCATCGTATTTGCGGATGTATATCGAGTTGCGCGATAAACTAAATTCATTACCGAGCTCCCACGCATCGGCCGCTAGTTCGTGTTAATTGCAAAGTTTCTGGATGCCGAGAGATATGGGAACCACGCGTCGCCGTAAGCATTCGCGAGCCGTCCATAGAATGCAGATTCGCGCGGCGCATTCTTGGGAGGCGATTATCCCAACGTGCGTCGAGGTACAGCCTTTGCCACTTTGATTCTCGCTTCGGCCGTTTCTCCCTCCGTGATGGATCGCACTTATGAATTCTAACTTAACCGGTGGGTAATAATAGGAGGACCTAACCGTATGAAAAATTTAATGATATTTTGTGACGTTACAATAAATGTAATTCCACTTTCTCTGTCTTTTACGCAAGTGACCGTAGAATTCATAAAGCAACTTGCAAGTTTTCAAATGCGATAAAATAAAATCAAAGATAAAATGTCCGATTGCATGCAAGCTGCAATCAACATTCGCAATGTTCTTTTAATCTGCAGATTTAAAGACCACCCAAAGTTTGTCATCAGTTTTACAATTATCTCGCTAACGCGTTCCTTACACGCCTGCTTTACGACGACGGGACAGTCGACGAATAAATCAACGCGACTGGAATCCTCAACGCGACGTTAAGGCGGTTAAAGAGGATCCGGAAGACACCGGATTCCTTCGGCAATCTCATAAATATTAGCCTCCGTGAATTCGTCTCTACGACCGCCACCGTCTTGACCCCAATTTTCCGTTTCACCCTTCGGCCGACTCGACAAATTGTCGCCGTGTTTTACCGCGGCGTTCATCGACACCCTCGATCCTCCGGCCGTGTCGTAACAAGAGGCATAAAACACGATACTATGCATTTACCGCGACGTATTTATTGGGGGCCGAAGATATTGCATTCTGGCTAATGGGACAATTTGCAGGACCTAGCAAGTATTATTAGATCGATGCTACGTAAAAAGGTCTATGAATATCAGCTAGC